TGGTATTCTTCTCCTTCTTCGACCCCTATTATTCTTAGGTTTGGTCTTTTCATGGTGTCCCAAATTTCTTGGACATTTTGGTTCATGACTTTGTTGGCTTTAGTGTTTTCTTTGACTGATGAATGTATTTCTTCTACTGTATCTTCAACGCTAGAGATCCTCTCTTCCATCTCTTGCATTCTGTTGATTATACTTGCATCTGAAGTTCCCAATCGTTTACTCAGATTTTCTATTTCCAGCATTCCCTCTGTTTGTGTCTTCTTCATTTTTTTCTATTTCCCTTTTCAGGTCTTGGACTGTTTCCTTCATTTGTTTCATTGATTTTTCTTGATTTTCTCTCAGTATTTTATTGTTTTCTTCCAGGACTTTATTGATTTCTTCTAATTTGTTTGCCCTTTCCTCTAGTTGTTTACAGCGTTCTTCACATTTTTTGTCTTTTCCTCTACACAAGCCTCTAGCTTCTTCATGATGTCATTCATAAGGCTGTTTTCTTCTGCTTCTTCCAATTTCTGATGTTCAGGTCTAGGTGTTGGAGGAGGGCTAGGGCCTGGTGATGCTGTATTGCTATTCATTTTGTTGTATATGTTTCTGCCTTGACGTCTGCCCATCTCCTTGTGGTTCGTTCTTGGCCTTATCCGCACACTTGGTTCAGACAGACCAGTGTTCCAAAAGGGAAGTCAGTGTTCCAAAAGGCAAGTCCGGAGCAAGATGGGAGCTGGGGGCCGGCCTCTAAGTCTCAGGAAGAGGCTTGGGGCTCAGGCGGATGGGCGTGGGGGCAGGGCGTGGAGACTGCAGGGTCTGCCAGGGGACTTGGAGAAGGGGATCCTTCCCGGTGGGGCTAGCAGGGAACCTGCCCGGTGGTCAGAACCTGGGGCCGAGTTGGGCAGGTCTTCCCTGGAGTGGCTGGTGCCCAGGGATGGGTTCTGGGGCAAGGACGGGCACTCACCAGTGTTGTAAAAGGGAGGTCTGGAGCAAGATGGGAGCTGGGGGCCGGCCTCTAAGTCTCAGGAAGAGGCTTGGGGCTCAGGCGGATGGGCGTGGGGGCAGGGCGTGGAGACTGCAGGGTCTGCCAGGGGACTTGGAGAAGGGGATCCTTCCCGGTGGGGCTAGCAGGGAACCTGCCCGGTGGCCAGAACCTGGGGCCGAGTTGGGCAGGTCTTCCCACTCAGGATGATTTTTTCTAGATCCATCCATTTGTCTGCAAACCTCATGATGTCATTGTTTTTCTCTGCTGAGTAGTATTCCATTGTGTATATGTACCACATTTTGTTTATCCATTCTTCAGTTGAAGGGCATCTAGGTTGTTTCCATATTCTGGCTATTACAAACAATGCTGATATGAACATAGCTGAACAAGTGCTCTTGTGGTGTGGTTGAGCATTCCTTGGGTATATGCCCAAGAGTGGTATAGCTGGATCCTGGGGGAGATGGATTCCCAATTTTCTAAGAAAGCGCCATATTGATTTCCAAAGTGGTTGTACAAGCTTGCATTCCCACCAGCAGTGGAGGAGAGTTCCCCTAGCTCCACATCCTCTCCAGCATAAGGTGTCTTCAGTGTTTTTGATCTTAGCCACTCTGACAGGCGTAAGGTGGTATCTCAGAGTTGTTTTGATTTGCATTTCCCTGATGATTAGGGATGTTGAGCAATTCCTTAAATGTCTTTCGGCCATTTGAGTTTCCTCTGTTGAGAATTCTCTGTTTAGTTCTATAGCCCATTTCTTAATTGGACTGTTGGGCATTTTGATGTCTAATTTCTTGAGTTCCTTATATATTCTGGATATCAGTCCTCTGTCAGATGTGGGGTTGGTGAAGATCTTTTCCCATTCTGTAGGCTGTCGCTTTGCCTTGTTGACCGTATCCTTTGCTCTACAAAAGCTTCTCAGTTTCAAGAGGTCCCATTGATTGATTGTTTCTCTCAGAGTCTGTGCTACTGGTGTTCTATTTAGGAAGTGGTCTCCTATGCCAATGCGTTCAAGACTACTTCCTACTTTCTCTTCTAGGAGGTTCAAAGTAGCTGGATTTATGTTGAGGTCCTTGATCCACTTGGACTTAGGTTTTGTGCACGGTGATAGATATGGATCTATTTGCAACCTTCTACATGTTGATATCCAGTTTTGCCAGCACCATTTATTGAAGATGCTTTCTTTTTTCCATTGTGCACTTTTAAGATGCTAGGATATTACACACAGGACAAACAGAATGAACTCCACATGTGCCTGGCCTAAGAGCCACTCCTTCTGTACCTATCGGATGCTTTAAATAAGTCATAAAGAGTCTGTTGCACTAACTTCTTGCCATCTGGATTGTTTAATTTCTATTTGGTTTTCCAGTTCACTGAATCTTTCTTTTGTGCTCTCTGTTCTGCTGTTGAGCCCATACACTGAATCTTTAACTTTTGTTATTGCATTTTCCACTTCTAAAATTTGGATTTTATTCTTATTGACTTCTTTTGTATCTTTGCTAAGACTCTAGTTTTTATATCTCAGGGGTATTTTTAATTGTTTAGTGGAACATCTTAATCTTGTGTACTTAAATTTTATGCTAGGTAATTTTAATGTATCTCACCTCAGTGTTTAAATCTATTGATTGCTTTTTTTCATGTATTTGAGATCTTCCTGGTTCTTGATATGAGTGAGAATCAATCAAAATGGGTATATTTGGACATTGTGTTGTAAGGCTCCAGATATTGTTTGAACCCCATATTTTAGCTGCTTTCCTCAGACAGCATCTTAGCAGGGAAACGGGCAGTGGTGACACTTGTTACTAGTAGGATCACTACCAGTGGAATGAAGTCTAGGCTTCCCACTTGGCCTCTGTTGCTACCCTAAGGAAAGGAGTGGGAGTTTCAGGCCCTTATAACTCCCCACTGATGTCCACTAGGCTATGAGGCAGAATTGTACCTTGCTACTGCTCCCAACTATGGCAAATGAGAAAATGGGGGACATATGTCTTATTATTACTGGGGCCTAATATATTAAGATGCTAACATCCAATAGTCTTCTGGCATCTTTCTAGAGGGCAGAAGTGAGAATATCATGACCCATTCCGGACTGCCAGTTCTAAGTGCAAGACTAGGTCCATATTGATACTACAGAAAGGAAACATCATTATTGCTTCACAGGGACTACTTGGTATCTACAATATTGCCTGAGTGTGAAGAAAGAAGAATCCTCATTATGTCAGGGTGCAGGCATAAGCCCTGGCTCTATACTGTCTCTCCTGAAAATACCATGGTAGGGAAGTATGTGTCATTTACCACCACCTGGTTGGGATCAAGTCTTGGGCTCCCTACAGATAACACAGTGTAAGAAAAATTGGGACACACTCTTACAGTCTAGTGAAGGTTCTTGCCCTGGCTTTTCTTCTTCCTTCTTTCTTTCTTTCCTTCTTTCCTTCCTTTCTTTCCTTTTATTTCTTCTTCTTTTTTTTGGCAGTGACTGGGTATAGGGTTATGGTTTTTCTATGGCTTTTAGCTGACATAGAGCTGTTATTACCTAAAAGTTGGTAATCAAAAGACAGCTTTTGGGAGTTGGTTCTCTCATTCCACTTTGTTGAGATGAGGTCTATGTTCAGTTTAATTTTTATTTATTTATTTATTAATTATTATTATTATCATCATCATTATTATTCATGTATATGTGTGGACACGTGTGTATTAGTTTTTTTGGGGGGGTTATAAAGACACTAATACAGCATAACTAAAAACTATAAAAATTAAAAAAAATTAAATTAGCAACAGGAAAAGGTTTTTTAAGGGAATCCAGAGGAAGTTAAAAAATAGATTTAAAGATTGATCTAAAATTTTACTATTTTTGGTTTCTTTTCCAAAGTACTTACAATATAGAAATGATGATTATGACTGTCCTTTTAAAATGTGGCAAGTAACACTGCCAATTCTGTTCTGTCATCTGTAAAATGTCTGTCTTGTGGAGTCCCAGTAAAGAGAATATAATTATTATATGGTACTTTTGTTTTATTTTCTTTTTGGTCTGCACTTATTGGTGTTTAAGGTTGCTGCTTTTTCTATAGCTTCAAGCCTGGGACATACATATAAGGCAAAAAGAAATCGGAGAATTAAGCACCTCCCCTTCAATTTGGCTCCAAGGTTCTAGCCCTTTCCTTTTATCTTAAAGAGTCTTCTTAGCTTATTTGAGCTACCACATGCCTAGCATTGTTACTGCTGTTGTTTTTGAACTCAACAAAAAATAGGGGAAAGTATGTCTGCTATAATGCTAGGAAGCATCAGTCTTTTCATACACATTAGAAAAAAAATCTCTGACCACTCATCACATAACTGACTGCTTGCTTTTCCCACACAAAGTCCCAAAAGTCTCAGGCTATCACCTCCTTGCCGGTACTGTTACTCTCTTTCCATTTGTGCTGAAATTTGGGCATGGTCACTGTCTCCTAGGTCAAAAATCAATTTCCTAATCCTCACGCTTTCACTGGTCTCCATTTTAATGGTTCAAATTATCACTCTATTCTTTGAATGACAGTCATCTAGACATGTTTAAATTGCCTGAATTTTAGAACACAGGAGATTCGATATTTTTCTCTTTCTCTCGCACCTCTTTTTCTTGTGGGAAATGAATGGTCCTTGATCATATTGAAAAACCAACTCTTCCAGCTCTCTGCGGTCACCCAGTATAGCCAGCAGTCAGATGCCATAGGATCCACATGTTTAATACATTTAAATAAAACCAACATTGTCGCTTTCCCTGTTCGAGCCTTATTCTTCAGTCTATCTAGACTTACCCTTTAGCCAAAGCATCCTTCCACTATCCTGACAAGGGTAAGAGGAAGTATTTGATAAGTTGTATCTGATAAACAGAGGGGAATGTACTAGAGCAGCAGTTCTCAACCATCCCAGTGCTTTGACCCTTTAATACAGTTCCTCAGGTTGTAGTGACCCTCCAACCATAAAATTATTTTCGTTGCTACGTCATAACTGTAATTTTGCTGCTGTTGTGAATCATAATGTAACTATCTGTGTTTTCCAGTGGTCTTAGGTAACCCCCGTGAAAGGTCATTCAACCCCTAGAGGGGTCATGATCCAGAGGTTAAGAAATGCTGTACTGGAGGCTGAGAAGAGCTTTGGGAAGAAGTTTTGGGAAAGCATGAAGATCAAATGGAGGACCTGGGAAGACAAGCTTCCTTGAGACTACGTGGTAAGGCTCAGAGGACATTACTCTTACAGGAGATCTCTAGGGCTATGAGCTGGAGCAGGGTTTCAGCTGCAGCACAGTAGAGAAGCCCTATCCTCATAAACATTACCATTCCCAGCAGGGCTGCTAACTTCCTTTTCCTAATGCAGGCAGGGAGTAAGCACTATGTTAACTCCATCCTTTAAATGGGAGTTATAATCTTAGCCATTCTCTTGCTACCCTACAACTTTTCCCTTAGTATATTACCATTTTGAGATGACTGATTCCCTAGCCCTACATTCCTGTCGCAGTGATTTTGTCACTCAAGTCCACGTCACTCAACCTTGCACCACAAACACATGTTTTCAGTCACTTCCCATTGACTACAGAATACACTCAAATCTCCCTTGTTAAACAGAGGACCTTTTCCAGGAGACAGAACAGTGAGGTACCCTACTTGCTACACGTCCCTCAGTTATTCTACCATTTGCTAACAGCTCTTCTCAGACAGGGTTGTCCTTAGAAAAAGTTCTTCTTCCATATCACATGAGTTCTTCAGCCCATGCTAAAGTTCAATCCCTTCTCCTAGATGAGGGACTCACAGATACCATAAATTTGGAGTTTATATTATTTTAAGAGCACAGTTTTCTTTTTGCTTTGTAGGAAGGAAAATGCTTAGTCTTTAGTTGCTAAGGGCGAAGACTCTGACCAGCCAAACTGCAGAAGGAGAGGGACATTGGGAGGATCAAGCTACCTGCGAGCTGTGGTAGAAAGCTCCAGAGATGCAGGCTTTCAGGAGTTGTCACCCAGCTTGGAGTGGGCTTTCTGGTGATGTGGCTACTTTTGAGTGATTCCCGCTCTTTGTAAGTAACCCCTCAAACACCACACAAATGGAGGCTGTATTACATACACATGTATGATTACACTGAATGTCATTATATGTAGAATACATGTTCATAAAAATACTTTTTGAATGAGAACTTTCCCCAAAACAACTTGTGATTCCACAATTGTGAGGCATTTGCTATGTCCTTAAATAAAATTTGCATATTCTCTTATTGGCTTCTTTAATTTGGTCTTTTTGTCCTCCATAATTATGTCCTTCCAGTCAATGATCACATCTAATCCTTGACATGAGGAATTTATGTCTTCCCTGAACTGACAGTTTTATCATTTTCCTCCTGCACTGAAGGCTGTATTTCTCATAAGGTTTTTGTCGTTGGCACTGTATCTGACAGTCAACTATATGACTATGGATTTGGGGACACCAAAGGGCAGAGTATATTAGACACTTTTCTCAATGCTATGATAAACTATCTGACAGAGCAAGTTAAGGAAAAGGCAGCTTATTTTAGCTCACAATTCAAGAGCACAGTCTCTCATGGTGAAGAATCAAGAGGTCACACTGCATTCACGGTCAGGAAGTGGGGGAGGGAGGATGGGTGCTGGTACTCTGCTGGCTTTCTCCTTTTGATCTGGGACAAAGGAGCCACTCATATTAGGCTCGGTGCTTCCACCTCCATTAACCCAAAGCAGAAGCTCCCTCACAGATATGTTCAGAGATTTATCTCCTAGGTGATTGTAGATCCTGTCAAGTTGATAATATTAGCCATCACACAGGAGTTGTATTATTTGTTCAAATGAACATCCTGTAGACACATAAAATGTTGTAGTGCACAGAGACATGAGATACTTTTATTTTCATTTCACAGAGAAATGAATGTTGAAATTAGACATGTTAAGGAATTTGTTCACAGATAAGCAGTTTTTGATAGCAAAAGGAGGACCAGCATACAGGACAGTTAGACTTCCAGTGCAGCAGCCTCACTATTCTCTGGGGATTGTTCATTATACCAGAGAGATTTGAATAATATGGGTTCAAAAACAGAAACAAACACCATTTCTCTCAATCAGTTCCCCCAGGAACTTGGTCTAATATAAATAAGGGAGAAGCTACACCCTTCCTACCATCCCTGACATCCACTTCAAAGCCTTTTCTTTGATCCTTTTCTACAGTCATACTGAATAACTTTCTAGACCAGCAATTTCTTCCAAGACCACCAGATCTTTCCCTTGTTTTCTCAATGATTTTTGCTACAGGAAGTTAAATCATTCAGAACTGTGCCACAAGCATGAGCTTTTGATTGAGAAACTTTCCTTGTGCTAAATAATATACTAAGCTTTCATTAGTGAGTGTTCAATGTTTTTCAGAAGACAGTAGCACCACTAGCACACACCAGACATCCTCACGTTTCTGCCCTCTGTCTAGTGCTCATTCTTCTGGGGGAAGGGCAGATTCCTCACTAGAAAGATCTTACCAAGTCTTTCAGTCCAACCTCAAATGTTACATGTCTCACAGTATTAATAACCTCTAGATCAATTAAATTCTGTTAAGTTTTGGCTCTGCTATTGGCTCCTAATGTCTTCTATACCATTTTCTTTACTCTTGATATTAAAAAAATCCCCACTTTTTCTTGAACTTTGCAGGCCTTCTATTTCTACAACCTTTGCACATGCCAAATCACACTAGAAAGAGCATTATCTCTTTTCTCCTGTTGCCTGTGCAATAATTATTCATGCTTTAGGTTTCAGATTGGAATGTCACTTCCTTGAAGAAGCCTACATTGAAATACAAATCCTGGTCAGGTGTCCCTTTTATGAGTTTCCAGTAAACGCAGTGTAAACATTCCACTTTTCTGATAACACAGATCATACTGCATTACATTTTCAATTTCCTGTAGTTCCCACTAGAGTATACGTTCCCTGAAAAAAAAAAGATTCTGCCCAGCATTTTCAATATCTTACATAGTGCCTAGATGGAATATGTAGGCTGTTTTAAAATAAATGAATGGTCAGAAAGACTGATAAATATGTGATATAACTGTAGATGACAGTATAGTATTACAAACGCTTTATTTTGATCTATTTGAATCTTCAGTAAGTTTACCCAGAGCAGACCTTTCCCATACTCAGGACTTCACATTTGCATTCTATCTTTGATATACAAGATTATCTTGCCCAATTTTCCTATAGTTCACTGACTGGGACTTCTCTATCAGAAGACATTGGAATTCTTTATTGTCCACATTCTGAATAACTTAGAGCATTCAATAGTCAGAATCCTAGAAGGCTGATATAAGAATAAGTGCATGAGAGGGGATGGAGGTGGTGTTTCATGGGGGAAAAGTGGACTAGTGAGGCTTAAAAATTAACAAAGCAGTGAACACCAGAATAACTTCTAAATCATAAATTAACCTTTAAGACCTGTCATATGAATTCTAGCCTACTCCAGTATGTGATGTGGTTTGAAGTCAGGATATAAAGAAAGTGGAAAAGTCTGAAGACAGTTCTTTGTGGAATGGGTAAGAGAACTCAGGAAAGTGTGCTAGATCAGAAGCCTTAGCTTTCCACAATGACCTGAAAAGAGGCGTCAGAGAGTTTGCCGACGTCACACACACTTGAGAACTTTTACTAAAAGTACAATCAGGAGACTATGGCACTGATATTAGGAGCCATGGGTGATTTAACATTATTTCTACATAGGAAATGTACCCAGCTGACTATGGGTCAGTATATAGGTTATACAGAAGAATGGAGTATGAGTCAAACCTTATTAGAGAATGTGGACAACTTGCTGACCAGAGGCCAGTCAGGCAGAAATGTTTTGAGCTTAAAGGCTCCCCAATGTGTCTTTACTTATTTTCTTTGGAACATTTGGAGAATCAAAAGACACAAAGCTTGGATTAATGTGTGTTAATGAATATGGTCCAGTAAAGAGAGAAAAGAGAATAATGACCCACATTGACTATTCCCGAGACACCTCATTAGCTAGAACTTACTATATACACCAGACTGGTGGTACAAAGTAGGGGAGTAAAGAGATCTCATAGGATTATGAGTTTCAGAATGAATTTCCAAGTTTCTTCATGTTTATAGTCAAGGAAAATGCACGGTTGCCTTTTTATACATTTATTTCCTTGGTGATAGAAAACAAAAAGCAGTGAAAAGATTGAAAAGCAGCATCATTTTGACTTATTATACAGCTCTCATGTTCATGGTCCTTTGTGGGAGTCTACAAAGATTCCAACTTGTGCTTTGACTCAAGGTCAGAGAGTCAGAGTTTATGTTGCTCTCCAAGGCTGCATAATAGGGTATAAAGACATGGTTACCAGGTGCCTTCTATTTCAAGGCCTAATCACAAGATGCTTTGTCGTGGGGCATGGTTACCAGGTGTTTTGAAGGATCTACACTTGGTTGTACATTGTGGTTTGATCTTGAAAGGGGGAGGTCTTTTGCCTTGCCCCTTGCTAGTGTATAAAAGGCCCATTAGAAATAAACTCAAGGCTGTTGGGTATTGACCCAGGGCCCTCCCAAAACTATCCTGTGTCTCTGTCTTTTTCTTCATCTATATTTCTATCTATCATTTCCTAATGTCTCATTGCCCCCTTCAAGGGACCCTTTGATAGGTCAGAGCTGAACCCCAGCACTGGGCCCCGGCAGTCCTTGAAATCAGTAGTGATAGGAAGAAGTCAAATTTGAATGATGCTTAGAATCCTGGACTAAATATTATGTTACAGAAATGGGCAGCAGAAAGCAGGTCCTTGCCTTGGAAGAGCATTTAGCTGAGGCTGAGGACACAAACTGTCACTCATGGATGACTACAGTAAACAATAGGGAAAGGAAATCCAGCCTGACTCTGGAGAAGTCTTTTTCCCTTTAGCCCTATTCTATAGGACTTAATAGACATTTGGAATATTTATATAAAAAAGAATTTGAACTTAAAGAATGAGCAAATTTGAAAAATATCCAGTCAAATAATGAAACACCTGGAAAGGGGCTTTTTTTTTTCCAAATGTAAAAGGACAAGTTTATTTAATACACTGCAAGGGAGCAGAGGGCACAGCAATGCTAAAATTGCCTGCAGCACTGGTCGAATTAATTGCCTGTACCAAAGCCATGGATTGTGGTTGCTTTTTTAAAATGTCATTGTGAATATTCATTGTGAATGTGCTGTGTTACATGGGGATATTTTCATTTTTTAAAATAAAGATTTATTTTATTTTGGGGTTGGAGAGATGGCTCTGTGGTTAAGAGCACTTGCTGTTTTTGCAGAGGATACAGGTTGGATTCCTATCACGCACATGGTGGCTCATAACCATCTATCTGGTATGCACACAGTGCACAAAAATGTGTGCTGGCAAAAACACACATACACACAACAAAAATAAATATATATATTTAAAGATTTATTTTTAATGGTGTGTGTGTGTGTGTGTGTGTGTGTGTGTGTGTGTGTGTGTGTGTGTGTGTTTGTCTCTGTGTGGATATGGGAACATGGTGAGTTCAAGTGTCCACAGAGGTCAGAAGATGACATCAGATCCCCTGGAGCTGGAGTTGCTGACAGTTGTGAGTCACCAGACTTGGATGCTGTGAACTAAACTTGTGTCCTCTGCAAAGAGCAATATTCACTCTTAACAACTGAGTCATCTTTCCAGCCACATAAGGCCATTTTCATAAAGGCATATAATACATAAAGGCATATTTCCCCATACATCCATACTCTCCCCTAACCTGTTGTTTTAGTACTATTTGTTCCCCTAGACAGTTTTCTTCTACTTTCACATCATATATATATATATGTTATTTCATATATTTATATAAAGTCTAAGATCCACAAATAAAAGAAAACGTATTTGTCTGAGACTGTATTAATTTGATTAATATGATTATCTTCAGTTACATCAATTTTCCTGAAAATGACATTTCATTCTTCATAATGACTGACAAAAATTCATTCACACACACACACACACACACACACACACACACACACACACACACACACATATATATCATATCATATTATCATATAGCCATTCCTCTGTTGATGAACACCTCCATTGGTTCTGTGCATTACAGCTGTATAAAGTGCAGCAATACATATTGATGTGCAAGGATCTCTGTGATATGTTGGAGTCGTTTGGGTAAATTTTCTAGAGTGATATATGTCAGTTCTGTGATAGATCTGTTTTTTATCTTTTTGGGAAAGCTCCACACT